GGATGGAATCTGAAAGCCTGCTAATGGGAATTAGGACAACTATTGTTAGAAGCAAACTGACAGATTTGAGATGCAAATTAAGAACACAGCAGCGAAATAACAAGACATCAGTGCATACATATTTACATGTTTGAGATGCTATAAATGAGCTAGTTCCTTAATGTAAGGTACAAATCTGCAAGCCCAGTTCTTGGGTGCAATTGCGAAGCATCATTCCAATGACCCCACTAGAATTGCACTAGAATACATAAAAAAAAAAAAAAATTTAACTCTGTTGTAGAGCAATGTTATATTTCGGTAGCATTCTACAGACCTGGACCTACAAAGATAGAAAACTGTGTGTTGGCAGGTGTTCACTATGAACAGTGGTTCAACCCGTATCTGTTTCCTTTACTGGGGGAAATGTTTGGAAACCCAGGGACAGTAAGGTGGTGATTTGTTTCAGGCTTACCTAGCTACCCTGAGTAACACTGTTGTAGAAAGCTTCCACATGTGTAACAATCCCACCATCAAAACATGAAAAATGTGAGCCCAGTTGTACCAAGCACCTAATGTAGCTCTTTGAGTGCTGACTCGTGCAAACTCTTATGAAATGCAGATCCCTCCCTCTAAATTACACAGAAATCGCATTGCCTGCTGTAATATTTGCTTTGATTCACCTTTGCATTTTCTCAGCCATTCTTGGAGCTGCCTTTTGGCTAATATTTAAGATTAGGCCTGCAAGCTGCCAAAGTTACAGTTCAAGCTGAAGGATTTCATTTTCAGAGAACATTCTCCATGTGAAGGAAAGTTCAGGTTTAAATATTCTCAGTTGAATCCTCCAAATTAGCAGTGAAGAAAGTAATTTGTATCTGCTGTGTATGGCCTTAGGCACATTGCATCTCATTGTCACTAAGATGGTGATAACTTTCACACCTAGAAGCAGCTTCAACACTCGCCTGCAAAATACAAGCTCTCATTCTTACAACCAAGGCTGCATATTAACAAATCTGTATGCAGTGCAGAAGAGTTCTTTTTATGTTATGGTGTGATATGTGTAAAAGCAGCCAGGAAGAGCTGCCTTTTTTTCATGTGCTTGGAGTATCCCAAGATCATCCAAAGTCACTGGAATTGATTCAAGTTTAATTATTAGTGATAGTTTTTCTGGTGTTCACCACCGAAGATTTACACCGTGGATATTGAAATACTACTTAATATCCAAACCTGGAAAAAGAATGAATGTGGTTAAATCTTTTATATACATTTATTTATTTATTTTTAATGAAGCCTCCATAAGACTCGGTGACTATGCCAAGACGATGATTGCAATCTTTTCTGCTTACCTAAGTGAAATAGCTGTATGTATGGGAAAACAAAACTCTAAAATGAGTAATAACTAGGTACTTCTTTGCCCTTAGGCATCCAAGCAAGGAGCAAATCTAAAAAAAATGTGAAACCAAACATCACTGTGTTTGACTTCAGAGGAGCTAATCTTCACACTTCAAAATGGCTAATGATAATATAGTCAATTAAAATGCATTCATAGCATTCTCATTTATTTCAGCTCAAAATCTGAATCTATAAAAGAATATGCAAGTAATAGATGCCTTAATAATGCCATATAAGCATAGTAGCTATATTTAAATTCATAAATGCAGATATGCATGCTCTGAAATCAGTAGTACATCAAAATATCAGTTGGTTCCCTGTGACAACCTTTGATTTTCAAGAATTAGAACTGACGTTAAACTTCAGTCCAGTCTGATAGGACTTTTCCTACTGATGTGTAGATATTTTATGGAGTAAAGCCAGCTTGGACAGGGCTTGGAGCAACCTGGTCTAGTGGAAGATGACCCTGCCCATGGCAGAGGGTTGGAACCTAAATGAGCTTTAAGATCCCTTCCAACCCAAAGCATTCTAGGATTCTTTTAATTGATTGGCTACAACTAAAGTCAGATCAGATACAAAAGCCATGGCTTTCTATAGAGGGATGCAGACAGTAAAAAGTAAAATGTGCACAGGAGTGTGCTGGGCAATCAGTACAGCGTTACAGGAGGTGATGGGCACATTGTTTAGTGTAGGTGTGATGGATATGCCAAGATAGCCTGTCTTACAGGTATATATAAGTATTCTGGGTAACTTGTGCTCTGACTGCAATTAATTGCACTGACTTAAACAGAATAGATCTTTGTAAAAGTCACTTGTGATCGCTCCAGACAGCTATTCAAGTTCAAATTTATGCTGTGACTTGTTATACCTTTTGTCTATATGTATGTATGCCTTTGTCTATAGCTATTTTCATGGAAATTGTACTGTTACATTTGCAGGGGAAGGTGTCAGTTTGTATTTCAAACCAGAATCCTGGGATCAAACCTAGCAGAGCTCTTTAGTGATAATTCCTACTATATTTTGGGTAGGACATTGATACTCCTAACTGAAGAAAGATGTGAAGTGAGATGAAGTTCTGACTGATATCCTAAGAATATGGGATTGGTAGAATAAAGCTTTTATTACAAGAATCAATGGGAGGCAAATCTGTTAGTCATGAAATGAGTCGTGAACAACATTTATTACAGTGAAAAAACTGGGAAACCAGACTTTGATTATAGCTGGTCTTCAGTCCATTACACAAGTCATTTCAGGGTTTAAATGTGAAACTCGGCAATCTGAGACTAAGGCAAACATGTAGCCACCTCAGCAACTTCATTATTTCACTTGGGACTTGAAAGACTGGATCTTTATATTTTTCTGCAAATAGATTTGCCCTTAAGCTGTGGGCAAGAAGCTTCCAAAGTGCTTTGTGCTTTAAAAAAAAAAAAAATAAAAAAAAAATCAGTTATTGGTCATAAATTTCCCATACAGTTTTAAAACCTATGTTCACTGTCCAAGCAAATTCACTGATATGCAAACATCTATACACAGATCATGTTGACTTTTCCACCCAGCAGTATTCAGCTTCTAGAGTTCAAACCTTCTTTGTAATTTAAAGAAGTTACCCCTCACCACACAGGATGTTGTCAGACCACTTGTTTTCTGCACTCAGCTGTCTCTGCAGGAATGACCTGCTAGAAAACTTCAGCTGCTTTTATTTTGATGGTCTCGGTACTTCACACATTCCCTCTGACTGGACAACTACAATCTGAATCCCTTGATTTAGCTAGCAGCAAGTACTCTGGGGATAATTGGAATAAATGTCCTTGGTATAGTTTTTATTTTCTTTATTTCCTTTTTTTTTTCTTTTGCTTTTCAGCAAATGAAAAGATTGAAGACATCAATGGCTGCCCTAAAAATAGGTCTCAAATGGTAAGTAGTAAAGTGGTCTGTGGTTTGTGTGCATGTGGTTGAGAACTGAAGAGTGTGTGACTTCAATGTCTGAGACATCTAAGAGGTTTTAGTTAGTTTTTCACAGTAGTGAGAGCAAAGGTGTAATCTGAAGAACATTAATATTACAGTTTTTGCCCTGTTCTCCACAATAGCTGAATAAGGCCTTATAATTTATTACATACTTACAATCAGTATTGTTCTCACTAAAATTAAATACTGAAATCAGTATTTTATATTTCTGAAGTACCTCGTAATTACACAGGAATGTATAAAAATAGAGAGAGCAGTACTGAAAAAGCAGAATTAGCTATCAATTTAAAGTTGGATTAGGAGTTCCTATATCCTTTGAAAATAAATAAATTATCAAATTGCAGTCAATGAACAAATTTCAAATTGCAAACTTTCAGATGTTTACTGTATGCAACTTGGGTTTGACTGCCAAGTTTTAATTTGTAGAACAAGTTGGTTGTTATCTCGCTTATATATAATAATTAAAGCTGGAGAACCAAAAATGAGTGCAGCAAAAGTAACAGCATGTAGAACTTCATGAATATGTTACTGGCAGAACTTTACTAGTAATGCAAATAATAAGAAATTGATCCTAAGAGAGGGGTGCTTAACATTTATGATACTTTAAAGAATGTTATTTCCTTCTGTATCTTGAGGAAAAAATAATTTTACAGTATCATTCCAAAATCATCCCTTTGACTTGCAAATGCTCACTTTGGGGTATGTGAATGTCTGTCCTGTGTGTGAAGCTGTTTTCATGTTGTTCGTGTTTATGACTGTTCCTAACTGCCCACAACCACTCTCATAGTTAAATGAAAGACTGAATATTGATGAGAGTTTGACAGTCAGAAACCACAATGTGTTGTGCTGCTCTGCTTTGGCTCTTTGTTGTTTCTTGGAAGTTATGAATCTTGCTCAAAGTCATCTAAAAGATTTATCATTGCTACTTTTTACTCCTTTGAAAGATGTTGGTTACTCTTCTCGCTGTAGCCACAGCAGCTGTCTAGAGTATAAATAATTGAGGAAATTTTGACAATTACTATAATTTAGTGTTCCACAAGTGTACTGTAAGAAGAACTGCTTTTCATTCAGGACTGGCATCTGTAATAAATTCCAGGACATTGTAGCTAACAGTCACTTAGACCTTAGAGCAGCTTCCAGTGCCTAACAGGGATGAAAAGAAGCCTGGAGAGGGGCTTTGGACAAGGGCCTGTAGGGACAGGACAAGGGGAATGGCTTTAACTTGACACAGAGGAGACTGTGATGAGATCTTAGGCAAAAGTTCTTCCCTGTGAGGGTGGTGAGGTGCTGGCACAGGTTGCCCAGGGAAGCTGTGGCTGCCTCATCCCTGGCAGTGTTCAAGGCCAGGCTGGACGGGGCTTGGAGCAACCTGGTCTAGTGGAAGGTGTCCCTGCCTGTGGCAGGGGGTTGGAACTGGATGAGCTTTAAGGTCCCTTCCAAACCAAACCAGTCTAGGGTTCTATGTGCTGCATCAGGAACTGTGAAGAGCACTGGAAAGAAGTGTTTGCTATGCATTGCCATCTCCTCTGATACTACTCTGGTTGCTCATTCAGGAGGGTGGTGAGTGGGACTGTCTTCCCTGTTCATGAGACCTATTGCATCAGTCATAGCAAGGCATGCCCAGCAGTTTTCCCTTACATGAGAAAAAAACAAGGATTATGCTCTTGGCTTGTTTTTATTAAGTGGGCATACTTACAGAGCTCTTTATCATCTTACAATAAAGACAGTAAAGCAAGAACCTAAGTATCTTCATAGAGGTGGTGTTCATACAGTTGCTTGCAGTGTCTAAGGAGACAACCCTTTTGCAGGTCTCCTGCATTCCTGGAAAAAATGAGATGTTAGAGTGTTTGTTTAGATACAGCAGTCTTCATTCTCTGCATTTCCATGCACTTTCCTCTTATAGCTTACAAGCATTCTCCAGAGTATGGGGAGTGGTGTTTGTGTTTGGTATTTCTGGTTGAGAGGTGACAAGAGGCGAGGCTGTCCAGTCAGTTCAAACACTGAACCAGGTGATGTCTGGTCTTACATTTTCAAGTGAATCTGTCAGCTGCAGTGTCTTTATCTTTATTGTAGTGTCTGTAAGGTGGTAGTGTCTGTAAGATGAGTAAATTTTTCAGGGGAGACATTGTAAATGAATGTTTGACTTTGCTCATTAAATAGAAATACAACAGACTTCAGAGGGAAGCCTTGTATCATTGTCTTTCCCCCTGTGGTCGCTTGTGTTTGCTTGATGCTGTGAACAAGCACACATGTGAGCTGAATTGTGAAGAGCCAGCTCATGTCCAGCCAGATGTGTTAGCTTAGAAAGCTGGAGCACATCTGTATCTTCCAAAGCCATTGAAGGGGGGTGTGAAAGCAAGTATATTTGCTTTTATGTGGCGCAATCCTAAACCAACAAAGCCCACCAAACCTTAGTGAGCTCAGCACAGAGCCAGATCAGGTCTCTGCATTCTTGTTTCCATTGTTCCATGATCGGAGAGCATCATACAAATTCACACAAATTGAACATTAGAGACAGCTTGGGTCTGTCAGGCTCAAAGCCAGTGCTAATAAGCCTTGTCAAATTAAGTTTAGTACTGCAGAACCGTTTGGGACCATCAGTGCTTATTAACCTTGTCCCAGTGCCAGGAATGACATGACAAGGACCCCCGCTGGCTCCATGAAAAATCACTTAGGTGAGAACCTACCCCTGTTGTCATCTTATCTGGTTTCTCTGCTTTGGGGAGTATCTCTGTCTTCCTTTGCTCCAGATAAGAGTTGGCTGGCTTCTGTATAATCTATGCTGTATCTTGTCCTCTGCATAAGACCTATTTCAGGGTGGTGGTTTTTTTTCAAACCTCTCTATTTCTGTACTGTAGCTATTCCTCTCCACAAAAGCCTGTAATTGGGATGATTAGTTCCAGCTGGCATGTGGAAAATCCTGTGGTTAATAGAGGGTGTAGCTGAACGGAGCAGAGCCTCTGGGACCAAGAAGGTTTGGAGACTGTCACCACAACTGCATTTGGATTTTTAGAATGAAGCTTCAGATAATACTGGCTTAGTTCTTGATAACTGTGTGAAGGAGGACAAAACAAGACTAGCTTCCACTCCTGAAGGCTAATGAAAAACAGAATGAGGTCAATAAACCTGAATAGAGTTATCTCTGCTAATATCACTTGGTTATAGAAGGACAAGAGATCTTTTTTTTCTTCCTTTCTTTCAACTTGACTCTTGTTTTGGGATGATATTAGAGCTTAACATTTGGCATCCTGCAGATTCTGGACTGTATAGAAGGTATTGTTTAATACCTGCCCTTCTAGGATTATCCTTATTGATTTGGGGATCTTTGCATATGTTACCTATTGAAAAGGGTTCATATACTTATATTTGTAATAGGATAAACAAAAAATAAGAGTGCTTAAGTGAGCTGTTATATGCTGTATGTTATGTATCAAGTCTGGCTGTAATGACAGCCTGTCGAAATCTTGCTCTACAGGGACTGCGTTCTGTCTGTGAGGAAACGTGTAAAATGCTCAGGTTTGGAAGGAGGTTTCACAGGCAATGTTTTTTTGCACAGTATGATAGCTGAGTATTTTCTTGTATATTGATACATCTTCTTGCATAGCACGGCAAAGAGAGGGAGGGAGGTGGTTGTGTTACTCATTATGTGTAAGTGATAAATCATAACAGATGAGATAATGGTGGAGATTAGATGATATAAGAAAAAGGCAAAAGATAAGACATCTGAAAAATCAGAGCATGAAAGTGGAGAGTGAGGTGAAGGAAAGAAAGATCCATATCAGCTAGACCAGAAGTGGCTGGGGAGAGAGACAAGTAAAGAAAGCTAATGTTGAAAATGTGAACTTGAAGTCAGACACTTGCCAGTGAAGGGATATATTGACAGGCACAGGCAAAAGCTGAAGCACAGCTGAAGATGGGACTGGAAGAAAGGATAAAAGAAGTACCAGCAAGGTGTCTTACAGGACAGGTAGAGGGGGTTTTCCACCTCAAATGTAATGGTAAGAAATACTTAGTGTGGTATTGGAAAGAGATAAGACGTATCTATACACCTATATATATATAAGAAAAAATATGTGAGAAGAGACTACTGAGAAAATAGATTTATTTTTTCTAAGGTTGAAAATAAAATGAAAGAAATAATGACAGATGATGATGCTCTAGAAAGAACTGGAATGTTAGGTGTGAATGTCTGAGAAGTGATGGTGTGTTACCCTTGCTACTGAAGCCTGAAGGAGCAGGGTGGTAGCAAAGCTGTCAGTGCTGAAGGGAAGGGGTTGGGGGATCTGTAGGAGGGTACACCAGACTCTTTCAGTGTTCCATGCTAGGCTTGGGGAAATATGGGACACCCAAAACAAGAATTTGGAGCAACAGAAAGGCATGTATGCTGAAGCAACACCACAGTTGCCTCCTATAAAGAGAGGAGGGAATAACTGGGTTTGCAGTTCGGGAGTATTATTTTCAAGGATGACCACTTTGTGTATACAAGCATCAGTTATCAAATAACAAAAAGGAGGTATTTATTTTCTCTGTGTGTTGACCAGAAGTTTTTCACAAATTTTATCTTTCTGATGCAGATATCAAGCTGAACCAGTAAAATAATACTGCTCAGTCTTTCTGTCACTGTTTATCTTGCAGACATAAAAGAATCTTGTACTGCAACTTGGGTCTGCATTTCTTCCCAAGGACTTTATGAAAGTCAAGGTGAAGGCTGTGTTTTCCTTACCCCAGTGATGGCAATTCAACCGTTATTTTAATATTTGACTGTTTTCTTGTATTCTGAAAATGAGCTGTTCTGTCATGTATGTGACACCCAATATCAAAGAACAGTTTGTATGAATATTCTCCAGCCTGACAAGGACCATGGTCTTGAAGTGCATGGTGCTGGGAGTTTTAATTCACTTTTTAGAGCCAGGTATCCACTTCCCTCCTCAATGTGACCCTTGCCAGCTCCATCCTCTGCGCTGAGTCTTTATTTTATTGACAAAAAGAGCATGAGAAGTTGAAATCTTCACTACTGTTTGTGCCTATGGCACATGTTGTCCATATTTCTGTGTTCTTTTTTTCAAAAAACATTTTAGTGAATTGAAATTATAAAGGTGAATGCTGGTGAACCCCATACTTCAAGGGTATACCGGGGAACATATTAATGAGTTGATTGGCAGGAATAAGATGAGCTGAAACCATCTGCATCACCCACGCAGCAAACTACGTGTGTGTAATACCCACTAAGTGTGTGAGCTGATGTGTTTTGTATAAATAATTGACAAAGAAATGGGAAAAAAATGAAATACTCTTATTTTTCGCAGGGAAAATAATTCTACCTTCATTTCTCAAGAGCAGACATCCACTTTAACCTGCTTCTCTAAAGATTTGGAGCATTTTTAAGAACCCAGTGTTGTATAAGCATTGCCATAGCTGGGTGCAAAAACCCCTCTGGATTTGTGGGGCTGAGGTCTGCTGCCTGGGCATGTTCTGCTAATTCAGATATACTGGAGAGATCAAAAGCATCACAAGCATGTTTTTCCTCTGCAAATTCCTAGCAGAGGATTTTTGGAAACATATCCCAGTGGTTAAATATAGCCATATTGTTTCAAGTCATCCTACTCTAAGGCTGCTTTGAGCAGTGCAGTAAAGAGAACTTTTCTGTCTTCTGGTGACCCTCCCCCCTGCTTTGTCTGGGGAGTTTGTATCTCACTACAGTAGATGTTTAAAAATTGAATCTGTTTGAATGTTACTGTAGTTAAAAAAATGGGTATCTTTAGGCCCTCACCTGTGATAAATTACTCACAGCTGAAGGTTAGCTGGAGGGGAAGATGTCACCCAGAGCTGTGCCAGATGCCAGCTCAGCTCCTTCAACTGCCTGTGGAGGCGCTTGGCCAAATACAGAGTTCAGGAATGCTTGATGCATTTTCTCTAAGCTCCCTGGGTTTCTCTTGATCATGTATGAACCCGTATTGTCATGTATGCAAGAACAACTTACCACAGAGGTCATCTGCCAGGTTACTTGTACTTAGATGTCCTTTTTCCTTATTTCATAATAACTACTACTCCTTGTTAAGATTCATTTTATTGTATCTTCTTCCCCCCTCCCCTGAGATTCAGACTGTTGTTATTCTCTCACACTTACCATTTATGTATTGGCATCAGTGAGACAGGCACAGTACGATCATAGGTTTCTGTGGCGCAGAGCTTGCAGTCTAAATAAAATCACAAGCCACCCTCTCACCCCTGCCATTGTCCCATATAGCAAATAACATGACAAATAGAGCTAGACTGGATTGGGAAAAGCCAGTAAACACATCTCCCTGCCATAAGGCATGATAAAGTGTCACTGGACAGGTATTTGTTTAATTTCTGGAGGGAAGGGCTTCCAAACCCCTACTGCTTGTGGAGATGGGAGGTACGGCAGTATGTACATACTGTTTTGTCCATCGAGTGGGTGTATGTGGTACCTTTGGAGGCATTGCTGATGACAGGCTGTCTGTCATTCCCATACAGGATCATCTTCATGGTCCCTGATGGTGTGCTGTAATTCTTTTTACTGTAGTGATGTAAGAACTTAGACCTCATGGTCTCTGAAAGAGTGTGAGGTTCCATAAGGAGCCACAGAGAAAAAGTAATTTTATGGAAAATCTGGAAGATGTGAGCTTAACTACAAAGACAGAATTAGATGCTAGTTGCTCATTTGTTTCACTGTTAATCTGAATTATGCCATTTCCAACACCTATGGTTGTCCCTGCTGTGTGGACTAAATACATGAAGCAGCAGATGCATTACAGGGCCAGGGTCATTCCACATACGCATTTGGAGATCTCTTTATCTTCCACTTATGTACTTACACCTGCACCACAGCCTAGAAAAAGAATTGGGTTTTGCCATGGCTGTTACTTATGTAGAATTATTACATAAATATACCTTTTATGCAGTCCTTTGCAAACACACAGCTTCTTGCTATGTTTTGTATAAATGGGGAAAAAATGGGAAATCATGGGAAGTGTTAAAAGACTGTCTTCACCTTCATGGTGTTTTCTTGGTGAGGCTCTACTAGGTGCAGAGGAGTGTATTAACTGACTGTTGAATTTGGTGCCATGAGCAAAAATTGTGCTGTGACTAAATGCTGCATGGAGTCTGTCAGGGGTCAGTTAGGGTTCTTATACAGGGTAAATGTTATCTAGGCCATTGCTTTATGCACTGTAACTGTGTGTGATGATGGTTATTTTAATTAATCAGTCTGCAAAGGTGATAGATATCCAGAAAAATCTGTTCTTATTCCTTTTATGTGGGATGATTTTTATCTACTTAAACAGTACTATTGTGCTAGTCTGATGCAGTTACGTAGGAGATGTTATCCAGGATCCCAGAAATGATCCTGGATGTGCAAGGAAGGGGGGGGCACATGTGTTGATGCCCCTTCAGCCACCGGAATCAATCCTTTGCAAACAGGTGAAGCTGTCACCCTCAGGCCTCAAGATATCAGTATGCATGTCAGCCTGGGAACAGGCTGTAGCCGTAGCTCCCTTCCCATGGAGCTGTTTTAGGAACCAGCAACTGCTGAGTTCTCTATTGCAAGAGGTCCTTGCAGTGACACAGCCCTGAGGTGACCATTGCTGCTTATCCACTTGTGTATATTTGAAAAACAGAGCCAGATGCTTGACTGGTATGCTGTCGTCACCCTTGCACTGAGAGTGAATCTGTAATTGACTGGCATTACTTCAAATAAATTTTTGACTGGTAGGTTGGTTTCCTGTTAAAATTATTCATTTAATAAGTGCAGCAGTGTTAATACAAAACATCTTCTCTGAGCTAAAAGCTCTTTGTCGTAACATTTTCAGTGCAGCTCTTGCTACGAGTGTGAAATTCTGGATTTCTGCTGCAAATTCACATTAGTGACAAGCAGAGCCTTCAACACTTGAGCTAGTATTGGAGGAAATACAACAGTGCATAAGAGCCAGTGTTTACTGCATGGAGTGGGTTAGCATCAGTCCTCCCTTTTAAGCATTTATGCTCTTTAAAAGTATCTTTTAATGTAGAATTCCAGGGTGTTTTGGGAAGAAGTCTATCTTCACTAGATACCAGTCATATTTTATATTTAATCCCAACTGCACAGCACTCAAAACATAACTTTCAGTCTGGAAACCCCAGGTAGAAAAGGGGCTTCTGCAAGCAACCAGTGATAGCAGAAATGAAGTGTTCATGGGGCTCACTATCCTCCTCATCATGTGTTTGCTGACCACAGCCATGGTTTCTCCCCAGCTATTGTTGTCTTCACTTATACAGAAACAGAGATTTAGTGCCAGTAATGTACAGCTAGTGTGGTATGAATAGAATCTGGTCAAGTGTTTATTGAGACTAGCAAAAATTATATTTCCAGGTATATTTGTCAAAGAAGTTTTTGTCAAAGTACCCCTTTTTTTCTCTTCTCTGTAGGAAAATTTCAGTTTTGACTAAATTAACCTGAAAAGCTGAATTTTAAACTAAATTAAGACAATTTCTATAAACCCTTCCATCTCCCTCTCCCAGACCAGATGAGCTTTGGCAGGACTTGAGTTGTCCAGGATTGCCTGAAACCATTCCCAATACAAGAGGGCCCTTTGGGTGCTCTTTGATGTGATTAGAAATCTTGGCCAGCAGGTATCACATCTCTTTGTGGGGCTTACAGCCCCAATTTTTCTCTCTGTTAGGCATGTTGTCAGTGAATATTGAATGCTTGTCCCATTATTTCCTGAGGAAGAGTTGAAGCACAGGAAAGCTAAGGTTTTACCCGGGGTTATAGCAGAGGGGATGCAAGAGATGAGGCTTAGGCTAGTTCTCTAGTCTTAGGTTAGTGCCCAAACTGTCCTTTTTTTAAAAAACCCAAAGTAATGCAATTATAGCAGAGAGAGAATCAACTCTTGGGCGACATGGTCTAGTGGAAGGTGTCCCTTCCCACGGCAGGGGGGTTGGAACTGGATGATCTTAAGGTCCTCACCAACCCAAACCATTCTATGATTCTATGTGAAAACTGTACCCATGATAATAGATTTTTATTTCAGTGGCTGAATCTGTTGTAACCTGGCTTCAGAGTATGAATTAGTTTCATTTGTCCTTACATTCCATCTATTATTTCTAAGATAGCCGACAAGTTCTGTCAAAATCATGAAACTTAATTTTGACAGAGGCTTTTATCCAAATAGTCAAAAGCAGCATGCTATTTTCTTTTTAAAAAAGGTACATCTTGACTGGGATAAGTACTAATGAAGATTTATTTTATAAACAGCAATAATAGTATTTATGTCCTTATGGGGAAAATGGAATTTGTCTTGGTATTTCTGATGTGTGTGTGTGTGTGTGTGTGTGTGTGTGTGTGTGTGTGTGTATGCGTTCCGGAAGTAGTGCAAATGAGATATTATTTGAAGGGAGAACCATCCCTCTCCCAAAACTCCAGTTCTGTAAAGATTGTCAATGTTTATGCTCTTCCTAAACTTTATGGTATAAAAATACTGAGTGTAAAAGCTTGATCTGAAAATACTGGCAGAAATAGATTTTTGCCTTAAGAAACAGCTTGTGGTGAGCTTTTTCCTTGTTTCTGCGTTATATGTGAATTCTGCTGGAATATTGCATAAAAGCTTGTGAAACTTGAAAAACTTGCACATGAAATCAATCTTCTTTTTCTCCTTTGAAAACTGATATACTGGACATAATATGGAGCCTCAAGTTAAATGGAGAGCACTGGCTTTAATATAAGTAGGGGGTTTTCTGGATAAGCTTAGAAAAACTCCCCATCTATCACCATAAAAGCTGGGAGCAGAGGTCTTGCATCATAACTTCCCATGGTTTCTAAGTGAAGGAACTTACTGTAAGTTTAATACTGATTTTTTTGTTGGAGGAAAACATCTGTTTCTGTTACAAGAGCAGGACTAGTGATAGTTTACCCCCTGTGTTTGACTTGGCAGAGTTGGACTGGCAGCTTTGGCTGTAGACCATTTCCATGTTCAAGTCTTTTGTCTGATATAGTCAATGTTCAACATCTGTTGGTGCACACCCATGGGTATCCATTTACAGGATGGGGATATTTGTTTTGGGGTTTCATTTTGTTTCTTACATTCCCTATTCTGTTCATACAGGCCAGGGCATGTTTTCTTTCTAGCACTGACAAGAATAGAAATTGAAGTTGCTATTATATGATCAGAGCAAAAATTTGTGTGGGTTTTGTGGCTTGCGTTGTCGGAAATGCACAAATTGCTGTAGGGTACATGTGAGAATAGAGGTGAATCTGAGTAATACCTGGGAAAGTTACAGTGAAATAAGCATTAAGTAGAAGTATTCTGATCCATACGTAGGAATTCAGTGAAGCAGTTAAATGTGTGTGTATCTGCAGAAGCTAGGAAGGAACGAGGAGCATGCAGGTCTGGTGGGAATGAAACCCAACAATGTGTAGTGATGTCCTTTACAGAAGGACTTAGAAATCAGTAAGAATGTGTGACCAGTAGCTTTTAATCCTGTTTTCCACCAAGAAGCTGATGGCCTTCGTGGTGTAACAAAGCAACTGCTGCTGGTCTGGTGTTTGAAAGTTAGGCATGTGCACTCCTTAGCCAGGATGCCTTCTGCTTCTATCTGGCCAGGTATAAAATGCTGCCCAGAGATTTGTGCTAAGAGGATGTTTTGAGGTAGCTGACTGAAACATGCCTTTTGCCTCTGTGAATATGAGATTGGAGTTGTGACACTTGATATTTTATGTTTAATTCTATAGGAGTTTATTTTTTTCATGTTATCTCCTCACTGTAAGAAAGGAGGGGGAGCCCCCAGAGCAGGGCTGCCTTTAGGTATGGGCTCAGCTGTCCTAGCCTGGCATTTAGGGGCATTTCAGAAGGGATACTCATTATATAGGGTGTGTGACTGACACTGGGTTTTGAGAGTCGACTACACTTCAAATGGCTTATTTATGCAGCAGTTCAAGATTGCAAATTCGTTTGATGCTTATGGCAAGGCTCAGTTTTGAACACTCCTAGTCATGTGTCAGAGTGAGGTAATCATTGTGGATGTCTGTCCTTGGCTTTCCTTGTCCTTTTGCACAGCTTTCCCCTATTTGGGTAAGCGGGAAATGAGAGCATCCAACTGCCATCTTTCCCGTTTTGCTTCTGCTCTGTTAGATATTGCTGGCAAAGCAAATGGGAAATCAGAGTTGTCAGCCAAAACCCGATTGTTGCTCACAGTGAAAAAAAAATATGCACTCCCCTTTGCAAATCCAGTCCTTTTGTATCTACTTTTGAGGGGTTTAAGTGATACATAGACTTGGCCAGGAAAGAACCCGTAGAGTCTCAGTGATGATTTGCTGCTGAATACTGTAATTTCAAGGATGCAGCTCTATTGTGTTGGAATTCACAACGGTGCAGGGTCACAAGGTCTTTGCTTAGCTGAGATCTATCTAAGAGCTTCACTTCTATCCTAGGTAAATTCATGTAAATGGTATGACTACCATGCTTCTGCTTCAGACTAGCTTGCTATCTCCAACCCTCTGTGCACTTTCTCCATAAAAAAATTACTTGACAATTATAAATAGTTAGCTCTTATGTTAGTACAGCAGGGACTAGAGACAGAATCCTCTGTTGGAGCTTTTATAGGTGAAATTAATTAAATGTTACATTGTTGGAAATGCTTCTTTTTAAATAAACAGCGTGATTTCCAATGCATTAGACTAATTCAGCCAAGCTTAGGGCTCTTCACTAAGGCTAGTGGCCACAAAATAGTATTCACACCTATTTGACGTACAAAGGTTTCAGTAGCTTTCTTTGGTTTTTACAGTAGGAAAAAAGTGTTGATTTTTTCAAAGTGCTTCCCTCACACATCTCAAAATCATTGTTTTCATTCTTAGCACTTTGGAGGGTTGGAAGACGGCTCCCTGATTGAGCATTTTGCTGCTTACAAGACACCAGAGTGGCAAGTGAGCATGAGCCCTTTTCCACTGGAGCTGGATAGCAGTCACAAATCATGTTTATGTAGGCCACCAGCCAGTCATTGTGTGGGAAGCACCTTGAATTCCTACCAGAGGTTTCTTTTGCAAGCCTCTGTTACTACCACTTTATTTCATCATGTGTAGTTTTAAGTACTGACATAGGACACTTTCCTCTTTCTGTAATATTTTGACTCCTATGAGTTCTTGACTGTAATGCACCATATATTTTTGACAGTCCATGTTCTGTATTACTCTATTCTGTCCCAATCCGTTCCATCCTGTCCGTCCCCCCCCTTCCCCCCCCCCCCAGTTCTTTTTCCATACCACTGTAGCACCAAAAAGCCCCTGTTTCTCACAGCCTTTAGCTAGGCATCACTACTGGTGTGGCAAAGTAGCCTGTCTGTCTTTTTTCTATGGCAGCGAGGTCCAGGTGACTCAACCCATGGTCCACATACGCACCTCAAGCATTAGTGCTCTGATGGGGGGGGTCATCCCTTAGTCTGGGCGTGGCTAAAATGCTCAGTGAAATCCAAGGAAAGAAATGGTAGTGATTTTAAAAGGGGCTGTTTGAATCTGAATCAGATCTGCAATGAGAATGAGATTAGGAAGTCAGCAAGGACTACCGTGTAGCACTAAAAAATGAGGGTATAGAGGAGGAACTTGCTACCCAGAAGTAAATCCTAATCCAGTGGTCACTCTGTCCTAAAGGAGAGGTTGAGCAAAGGTGAGGGACCTGGGAAGAGAAGCAAAGGAGGACTGAAAAAGCTAGTTTGAGTTTCTACAACTGCATACCTAGAATGGAGATGAGTTATTGCTTATCTTTACCTAAGGAGTTCTCCTTACTAGGAGAGGAGGCATCTAGCCACAGCTGTGGAAGACTGGAAATGTTCTTGCAGCTTGTTAAGTGCGGGTAGCAGAACTAGATTGATGCTTTTATGTGGTGTTTATTCTTGCAAAGGTGAACTTTAGCTTTCTGGTAGAGTCCCAAACACCTCAATCAAAGAGCCATGTTGAAAACTTAAAAGGGTTGTTGAGCACTGAGGAAGGAAATGGGTAGAGATTGACTGTCATATCATCTTGAGCTGTGAACCTTTGAACTGCCCCCTGCTACAGTCTTTAAGGTCTGAATATGACAGGAAATGTGTTCTTTGGTGTCTGTCTGGGTTTGGAAGTATAGAGTATATATATCTCAAAGTATAATGAGGTTGATAAAAGTTTTGAGTGTATCATAGAATAGTTAGGGCTGGAAAGGACCTTAAGATCATCTAGTTCCAACCCCCATGCCATGGGCAGGGACACCTCACGCTAAACCATCTCACCCAAGGCCTCATCCAACCTGGCCTTGAACACTGCCAGGGATGGAGCATTCACAACCTTCCTGGGCAACCCATTCCAGTGCTCAACACCCTAACACGGAAGAATTTCCTCCTTATATCCAATCTAAACTTCCCCTATTTAAGTTTTAACCCATCACCCCTTGTCCTGTCACTACAGTCTCTCCCCAGCACCCCTATAGGCCCCCTTCAGATACTGGAAGGCTGCTATGAGGTCTCCACGCAGCCTTCTCTTCTGCAGGCTCAACAGCCCCAACTTCCTCAGCCTGTCTTCATACAGGAGGTGCTCTAGTCCCCTGATCATCCTCGTGGCCCTCCTTTGGACTTGTTCCAACAGTTCCATGTCCCTTTTATGTTGAGGACACTGGAACTGCACACAATACTCCAAGTGAGGTCTCATGAGAGCAGAGCAGAGAGGCAGGATCACCTCCTTTGACCTGCTGGTCACACTCCTTTTGATGCAGCCCAGGATACGGCTGGCTTTCTGGACTGCAAGCCCACTGTATCAGTGTTTATAATTGTTGAAATCACAGTTAGATGATGCTAGTAATTTTTTTGTTTCCCCGGTAGAAGACAATGCTTTTATTGTTAAGTTTATAGACAGTAAATCAGAGTTATAAAATGATTTGGGTTGGAAAGGACCTAAAGATCATCTAGGTCCAACCCGCGAAAGTACCATGAGAGAAATCCATGCTGGAGGTTTTCTGGCAGCCTCCCTTGTACTTTCTTACTTTGACAAGGATGGAAAGTGCAGGTCAGCCTCCATAATGCCATACAGCCCTCACTTGTATGTATTTTGAGGGCAGACAGGAGCTGAGAGGGAAAGCTGCATCTTTCACATTCCCTTTTGATGTCTCCAACTTTCACAGAAGAAAGGTGGTTCATTGAGAGCAAATGTGGGGCTTGCTGTCTGTATCATTCCCTATCTGTAAAGTGGAAGCAGTATTTTGTTGTGATGTTTGGGTAATTAACAAATTAATGTTTGCAAGCTATTCATACATGGAGACCCTATTTTGTCACTTCCTGATCATCGTCATGAAATACAAAATTTCTCAATGGTATTATCCAAGTCTTCTCTGCAACTACACATGAAACATGGTATCTCCTAAAATGCTGTTCCTTGCAGCCTCTTGAGGTGTCTCAGCTTAGCCTTTTGCATAGAACCATAGAATAGTTTGGGTTGAAAGGGACCTTCAAAGCTCATCTAGTCCAAGCCCCCTGCAATGAGCAGGGACATCTTCATCTAGGTCAAGTTGTCCAAAACCAAAACAGTGCTTTGGTCTGGGGTGGGGGGTAGCAGGCATCTGTCTGCGTCTTCTGGAGACAACAACAGAGCTTTGGTGGTAGCTTGATGAGAAACTACGTGTGAAGCCACTGTGAGACCTCTACTGCAGTTGAGGTACAGTGGGGGAAAAATGCCTAATTCGGCCATTCCTGAGTTTACCTTGTTAGGAAGGGCCTGAGTGCTGTCTGTATATAGCAGCTGTAGTCACCAGCAGTCAGACCTGTTGTGCAGTATCATGGAATCACAGACTGGTTTGTATTGGAAAGGACCTTAAAGCTCATCCAGTTCCAGCCCCCTGCCACGAACAGGGATGCCTCACAGTAGACCATGTCACCCAAGCCCCATCCAGGCTGGCCTTGAACACTGCCAGGGATGGAGCATTAACCACTTCTCTGGGCAACCAGGAGACCCTACCTAGTCAAAATGAGTTTGATCCCATGCGATGTAATACCTTTGTACCATGTCTCTGAAGGGCAGGATTTGCCCCACAGCGACCAAGCAGTTGTCTTTCATTTCCAACATGCAGCGAGTGTCACGAGTGGACATATTTTGGATTCCAGCCGGGGTTTCCTGTTACAGTTTTTATATTTGACTGCTTTTGTGATTTGTAGAAACTTCTGCCAGCTGTCAACTGAAGAACAAGTGGCAATCTGCCTTCTCAAGCAAATGAGGCCCCCAGGTTTATTTTCAGTTTCATGTTTGTTATGCTTACTGTAGGTTGAAAATCCTGGCATAACATCCTTGACCCTTACTAAGATACGTAGTGATTGCCTGCCGTGGTTAGAGTATTAACTAACTTGCTTCATGCAAGTGCAAAGAACAGAAAGTCCTGACCCACGTAATAATCAATTTAGTAACTGAGGAGGTATCACATTATGGTCTCCACAGAACGAGCAAAGGGACATTTGATGTGGTACAAACACTGGGTGCAAATAAAGGGTAGCAGGCACTGAAAATCTTACAGTTATTATAATGTATTTTCTCTTTGTGTCTCTCTGATTTTTTTTGTTTATTTGTTTTTGAACAGATTGAAAACATAGATGCATGTCTGAGTTTCTTGGCTGCTAAGGGAATTAACATCCAGGGGCTGTCAGCAGAAGGTGAGTCAATTGGTGGCTTAAAATTTCAGTTTTAAATGAGAAACCTGAATTACTGCTTGTGATTGCAACCAGAACATGAAGTGGCATGGGAGGTTAGTTTGGATCATTTAATTTTTTGGCAGTCTTTACTTCTTTTTTTTCCCTGTCTCAGTATGGAAGGTGAATAAAATGCGTATCTAATTTCCACAAAGCTGACTTGTAAAAATAATCAGTGAGACTGTATTGGAATTCAGTCACTTCTTTGTTTCTTTCTGTTAAAAATCCTAGAAATTTCTCATCTAAGTTCTGTAATGGGCACAGTACAGAATAATGTCATTATATTATTTTTAAATTTTACACTTTACAGATATTCAAGGTGAACTGCTGGCAGTTGCTTGCTTTGTGAGAGACATGATTTTCTCATTCTTCAATTATTCTTTTACCTGAAGTAGTATCCTTCATTGCCTTTATGGTTAGAGGCATGTTTTCTTTCTCTGAAGGAATCCTGTGGCTCAAACAAGGAAGGCAAGCAAGGATGTGTAGGTGTGGTGGGCTCACTCCTAGCATGATGGGAGAGAGAATAGGAAGAGGAGGAGTGAGGCAACACATAAGATAGTTTAATGAGTGAAGGAAAGAGGCTTAAAACCAAACCAAGTGATGCAAAGGCAGTCACTTACCATGTCCCACAAGTAGACACTGTGCCAGTATTGCTCAGCAATAGCCAAAACACTGGTTCCTTATCAACACTGGTTTAGTCACAAATCCAAAACCCAGCACTATGCACTTTATGACAGTGACTTGAAGTCTGAGCTGAAGCACACTTTCACTTGTCAGTGGTAGATGTGTATCAAATGTATGCCAGATAACCACTGGGGATGAACTTTATGGTGAAACCATCATGTCCACAGCTTTTATATACATACATTACATTAAAAATAAAAAAATTAAAATATTTATTAAATTACTATATTATTGTATAATACACATTTCTAGTTAATAAAATTGATAGATTTAAAAGTTATTAAATATTACCATTTAAAACTGCATTTTGACAATTTGGAAAATGGCTTCAGGAATTCCTTGCTGTCCTCAAAAGAAAGCCTCCTACCTTATCCTAGTCTGTGAGATCTTAGAAGCCACTTCAAAAATGTGTAATTGAAATGTAATTGTACTAATTTTGAGGTGGTTTGTAAGCGTGGAAAACAAAGTAGCAGATAGTACACGTTGTTCTAACTTGAATATACCACAATTAGTAGAGGAGGAGGCTGAGCGTTAGCTGTCTTTTTCTGTGATGTGTCCTTAAACTGAGTTAGAACACCAGTATTTTCCTCCGAAGAGGAGTTTTAATATGGACATCCAGACTACTGCCTGCATTCTATGCCTCAATAATTCAGTTAGAATAAGAAGGATTTTCGTGTCAAGAAAAGAAAGTATGAGCTAAAACTTTTTACGTCAGAAAGTTTGATTACCGGGAAATTATTAAAAAGCAAATGCAACAGCATTTGCTGTAAAAATCCAATTTCGACTTTGAACCGGTACGTGCTTATTGTAAAAATATAATAAATTTCACATTATTTCCTTGTCTTGGTATGATGCGAAATCTAAAAATCTCAGCATGTTAGTTAATGAGAGAAGTGTCTGGGTGTGCAAAGTTAAGTGTAGCATTGTTCACACTGGGTTAGGGACAGCATGATGAATAGTCATTGTTCTGCCACCAAATCACAAGGCAGACTCAGTAGGATATATCCCATGGCTTAGCTGAATTTGTTTGTCTCCATTTCTTTTACACTGTCTAGGAATTAACATATTAAATCATACAGAAGCTAGGAACATATCAATAATGTTTGCTGTCAACATAGGAATGAGAACATTTGCTGACTCTACCACTAAATTGAGGAAAAAGTGACAGCTAGAGTGGGGAGAGAAGGAACAGATTTTATAAGATACGAAGTCTTAAATTCAACAATCAATTCGATTTCTGTTCTTGGTCTCGCCTTAACTTGCTGTGGAAGGAGCGGGAAACTAAACAAGAGAGAGCACAGAATCACTGGAAATGAAGAGTGCTGTAACCAAACACGCCAGTGTTTCTGCACAACTTGCCAAGACCTGCTAGGTCAACTGCAGATTGTTTACTTCTCTGGCAGCTCCTCATCTAAGAGGAAGGAGTAGATTGTGATTACTTCCAAATGGGAATAAACATTGAAGTCTCACTTGGGTTGCTTGAGAAGGTGTATTTTTCACTAGTGCAGTTTTAGCGTGGAGAGAAGTGAATGATTCAAAATTGGATTTTGGACAACTCCTAAATGTTGAAATAATTTGGGACTTGTGTCTCATCCTTCCAGTGTTTAAAACCACTGCTTTGATATGTGCATGCCACTTTATACATAGTCTTTTAATTTTTTTCTGGATTTATGCAGTGAAGATGCTATGGATCTGCAGTTACTGATGATGACCATACTATGCTACAGACAGGCCCCTTCCTCAGCAGCATAGAGCCAAAAAGTCATTCCCTTCTCCAAGATTTTAAATCTTCATTTGTAGTTACTAAAGAAAACTATGGCGATGCTGGAAAATTCTCTTCTTGCTGCAGTTTTTTTTGTTGCCCGTTGCTGTGAGCTGTCTCTCCAAACCCATGCTGGAAAATTCTCTTCTTGCTGCAGTTTTTTTGTTGCCCATTGCTGTGAGCTGTTTCTCCAAACCCATGCTCCTAAACTTGTTTCCACACCAAGGTGGGTTTTAGATTATGGGAATTGCAGTTGCCCAGCTAAACTTGACCCCCTTCACACAACATCTCCTCGCTGTCAAAGATTTTGAAGGTTATGGAGAACACAAGTGTGCAGTAGAAACTCAAATTGATGTCATAGGTAGGCAGCTGCACCTCTTCTGGGTAACAGATTAGCTGGATAATAACCAGCTGAACAAACCATGAAGCCATAAAGTGATGAAATAAAATGTCTCGCTAGACTTTGGAACAACACGATTCAGTGTAGACTTTTGCCTCTGAAATTACATTCCTGCTCCTGTAGGTAAATGAATTTCAAAGCACACACTGCAGTATTTCAGTTCCTCCATTTTAGGTCCTTTAGGTCCTTTCCAGTGTCGGGGTGGAATTTTTTGTTTCTGCAGCATATCTATCCCACAGCATTATTTGAAGTGTATGTGGGTAGGACACTTCCCATGCTGCCAGGTTTTGATTATGCCATGTTACATTATGCCATGTACAGTTATCTACAGTCTTCAAGTAATTGCTCTTTAATTATCAAAACATGCCTGCAGATCTAATATGTGGTGTGGGAATTAATTATTTCATGCATTTTCCTTCCTTAAGCTAAGGAGGATGCAGTGATTCATATTTTGTACTCCTGCTACCCAGTCTGGTCTATGTAACTGGTTCTGGGTTTTTTTAGTCCCATGTGCTTTATAGAATCAGATATAAAATAAGTTTTAAGAAAGCAGACGCAAACAAGCTTGACTAAGTAACAGTGATAGACTGGTTTTTTTTTGTTCATTGGTTTGCTTTGATCTGTGTTCTGTACACAGTGAGTAGTTTATGATCTACAGGAATTTCATTCACAAGTGTTAGAGGAATCAGATAACATTTCTCTCATAGTCTATCCAGCAGACCTTTCTTTGCCTTTTCTTTGTTCTGAGCTGTTCCCCCCCCCCCCCCCCCCCAATTTCCACCGAGTCCGGTGTATTTTTGTGAAGACAGAGAAAGGTGATGGGCAAGTGGCAGTGATGGAAGTTGTAGCTTGTAGGGGAAACAAGCAGGGATGGATTGATTCCAGGAGGGAAATATCCAAAGAGTAGATTTGTGGCAATTCTCCAGCAAACCAAATTCCAGTTTCCTCTCAGATGTTGAGAGTGTTTATTTCCAGTACACATGACAGTCATTTTGGGCTCCAAATTTCAAATGGGTGGGTGACATATATATTCTGATTGAAGTTAATACACAGAGTAAGCTGAGGCAGGGACTGGAGGGGGCTTGAAGCCGGAAGCAGTTGAGACTGCCGCACTGGGCAGAGTGCAGTGAGGTTGAAATACTCTTTGAAACACTCTTTTTGTACAAAGTGCAAGCTCCAAGTGCATTACCTCAGTCTGTCTTTAAGATAAGAGGAACAAAATTACCTCTCAAAATCCTGTTTGAAGTATTTTGCTTAAAATCCAGAGGGAAAGAGACTGCTTGTTTTGAAACTTGTTTTTGATTTTGATTATTCTTTTTTCGTCACCTCAGAAAAATGTCAAAAGCAGGTTGCTCTTCTGATAAATACAGCAGAAGATAAACAGCCACAGAGAGCCACAGGTTTAGGTAGGTTGTTGTAGAACCACCTCTCACTTCACATGAAAATCAGGTCATCTTTTCCAGTGCACAGAATTTAAATGTGCAGACCCATGGTAGTTTCTTTATCTTCTGGCCTGTATTTGTGCAGTTAAACTTCCCAGTGTCTCTGAGTCTGTTTATTTTTGCTTCTGCCTGTGATTAAGTGCTACTTTCCTTACAGTTCCCATGAGTTCTTTGCTGAAGATAAGGAGAATGTGTTTTTTTTTACTGTACTTTGCTGTCTCTTGGTATGTTTTACTTTATTGTGTACTTCCATCCCTGTCCTCCCTAGCTAATCACAGGTGGATTAGAGAAGGAAGCTGCCCGATGCATATGCTGGTGGCAGGGGCTGAAGGCTGGGTTTGAGGCATGGCACTGTATGGGAGCAGGAGTGGACTGCAGAAACGGAAAACATGCAGGAGTCATTGGGACCCCACTATTCAGAATGAGACTAAAATTGGCTAAGAAAACACAGGAAGACAAAAAATTCAAGTTCAAGGGCCCTGGGATTTATAATCATTTAAACATGGGAATGGGGGCAGTGATGGGAGAGAGTGCTGGGGAAGCGCCTGGGCTGCGGGGAGGCAAAAATGGGTGAGGAGATTCAGTCAAGAATAGGAGAGGGAAGGAGAGCAACATCCTGGGTCTGTGTAATGACCAGGACCATTTAGACATGGTGTAGGAGTCTCTGGGGAGATGGGCAGAAGACAAAACAAAATTAATAGAAGGGAGGAAGTGTACATTAGGTTAGTGTGTGGGAAGAAGAGGTATACTGAGGTATGGGTAGAAAAGAAGACCAAAGCTGGAAGCTGGTATAGAAAGCAGAGTAAAATTTTGTCATGAGCCTGAGATTTGTTGTGTAAAGGGCTTGGGGTTATGAAGAGAAGCTCGTTACACAGCAAAAATAAGCAATGTGAGCAGAAAGTGGCCGGGAGAGCGCATAAAGGGTGGAGCAGGGCCCATCACAAAGTTAGAGCAACCTTTCAGCCAGAACTGAGGAAAGAAATTGAGATTCTGGTTCTCGCCTTTGTGCTTGGCTACTGGCCACTCAGCAGATGTCCTCTTCTTCCACTCTTGCACTAAACCACGGAGAGGGATTTAAAAGCAAAGGGCAGCAGTAAGTTTTATTGGTTTGAGTGGTTTATATAGTGCATGGAATAGTTCAGCTGTTTGATGTAGCACTTTGAATTCACTTTTTAATTTAGGAATTTAAACATGCTAAATAGGTAAGTCAATATTAAGGTTGTCTGCAAGCCTGAATTGGTGCTCTTGCATATTAATTAAGATAAAACAGTTAACTGCATGTTTTGATACATGGCTTTTGTATTTCTGTTTGGTTTTACATCCCTGCATTTGATATTGCATAGAAGAGCAGGATGACTTTTAGGAACTGTTTATTCATTCACTGTCAAACTATCTTTAGGTACCTTGGGTATCTATTTGGTACCAATGGGTATCCATTCTTTAT